CACAAGACATCCAGATCACAGTTCAAGCAGACTGCTGAGGTAAAATATATAATTGTTTTCCAATTAAATTTTTTTCAAACCTTTCCCTCTCAGAATAAAAAGAAAAATTATTATATTGCTATATTTTTTTCCGAATTCTATATGAGAAGCTTATGTGCCAAAATACTAGAGTTTCTCACAATAAAAAAAAAGTATTGCTTTTGCCCTGGTCAAGTCACTACCAACCTAAGTTGGATCTGAGCTTATGAAGGTAACTTTACTTTAATGGGTAAAATAGGATTCTCATCATACTTATTTCCAAGCCCTAATACAGACTTTCTGAAAAAAGTAATAGGTTCGGGTCCTGCTTATAAAATTGTATTAGTTCAAAGTTGTTTGTGTATGAGAAAATAGAGGAAGAAATATATTGTCCATCACAAAGTGGGCTGTTACACTTCGAGTGATTTGTTTCACTGCAGTGGTATTTATCATGTTGATAAAATAGACCATGGATCTGAAAATTGGAAGATTTTTCCTGTTAATTTGAAACAGCACCTATACATGCTGCTGTGACATCAACATAATACCCTAAAGCCACAGCATCTGAAAAGATTTATTTTCTGAGCCCTTCTGCAGCCACATTCTCTTTGCTTCTGACATTCTCAATTTGCAGGCTGCTGGTGATCCAATCTTATTCATTCTGGCTCTATAATAAGGATGTCAATGCAAGAAGAGAAAAGTCATTATCTGATAGCCAACAGACATGATAAAAAGGCAGAGTTAGATATCTCAGAGGAAAGGCCACCCTTTCTGCCTTGGATGAGCTTCTCAAGGTCATGGGCAGCTTTTGTACCTGTAAGTATGCTCCAAATTCACTTTAAGCTGAGTGCATCAGATAAAACTGAAATGTCCCTATCACACAGTCTCATGTCTGAATAAGGTTTTGATTTTTTACTATTAATCAGTGAAAAGTTTTAATTATGATTAGAACATATATATGCAGTGAGAAAGATCAAAGAGGTAATGTGAGCTGCAGAGAACCTTAGTCTAAATTTATGGGCCCTGCCTGGTTAATGTCATTCCTATGGGTTTGGATTATGCTGCAGTATGTCCCACTAGCAATAATCAGGCAAGACTAGTTAACCATTGCTATAGAAAGATTTTTACCTCAAATTTAAAAATAATAATGAATATCATCTGGTTTTGGGAACCTTTTAAATGTCACAGTTGCAACAACTGACAGCAAAAATGTATTTATTCATCGACTTTGTCAAATAACTACTTAGTACCATTCCAGAAGATAAGCTACTATCAAGCACAAGGTAATGGGCTTTTATAAGCAGTAATTGGATGAAAGTTTTGAGTTGCAATATACATGAGTTAAACTAGATCAACCAATCTTGATCTATGAATCTGTACACCATACGATGCCCTTTACAAGCCACATTAAGGTAAAAGTTTGAAGCAATTCCTACACGTTTATTACTGAATAACAATTGTAGCTTAAGAGGCAGTTTAATTTTATGTGTGCAAATCAGAAAAGCATACAGAACAGGAGGACAACACGTGACTGGCCCCTAGGCTGTAGGTAGCAGAGGCAAGCAGTGTGAGAGAATTAAATACGCTCCTGGGCCTCCCGAACTGAAAATTCCTTTCCCTGTACTATTTGTATGGCTCTTGTAAAACTGATTTATAGAGCAGACATTTCCCAGATTATTCTAGTCTTCCACTCATTTGCTAAACTTTGCTACAAGACAGTAAGATAAACGCAAAAGGACCAATAGCCTTGCCTGCTTTTAGCATCATCATCAGTTCTTTTTAAACACTGTTTAAACATTAAACATACTAAGGTAGCAGTTCCTATCTGCTTCCTATATCCCTCTAGAATGTAGGAAGAATCTGATGCGCAGTGTTCCCATAGCTGAATGAGTATAACTGGTGAGCTAAGTGGTTTTATTCTTTTGGTGTGAAAAACATGCAGATGTGAGTTTGCATTGTAGCATGGCAGTCTGCACTACTGTATAGCTGCTTTAAAGAACCCCAAGCATTCAACGCATTCAAATGTTAAGGCAGTGCCACCTAATTCATTACACTTGACACAAGCCATTGCCATAGCCAGACCTACAAAACCCTTTCTTCAGTGACCAATTTTCCATCTTCTATATTTTAACAATAGCTACAAACTCCCTGTACTTACTTAGTATTTAAGTCTTTCTGGGTCCCTAGTTATTCCTACCTTAATAAGTTGCCATCACAGTTGCTGCAGATCTTATGTGTTGGAGCACTCAACAACAGGCATGCCAAGATTAACCTCTCACCAGAAGCACAGAAAGTAGTCTTGCGAGAAGACAGAAAGTAGATTGTGAGAAGCTATTTGAGGAGAACATACCTAGTTTCTTCCCTATCCAAACTGGTTAGAATTACTAAAAAGCACAGTATTTTCCTCTTTTTTCCATGGGGGGGGGGGTATTGGGCTCCAGTTTTATCATTAAGTGGGTCTCTTAACCAAGGAGTGAGAAGAAACCATAGATCCATCCATAGTGTTTTATGGAAAATGTGCTGATTTCAATATTGTGTCTGACAGAGCTGAGCTGTTCTCCTAAGCTTTTCCTTTTATGGAATTACTGAATTTTTTTTAATACTTTCACTACACCTAGGGATTGGAAAGGTTAAAAAAAATAAAATCGAAACTTGTTAAATTGCCATTCCATTTAAAACTGGCAGGTTGTTTGCACAAAAATAAGAGTTGAACAAAGTAATAATGTAAATCAAATACAGGCCAGATATTGATATGAAGCCACTCCTGATGTATACTTGGGATAACCAAGGTAAGTCCCATAAGCAGATGACATCCTGGTATATATCTAGCATAAGTGAGAGGTTCCAACCTTCCTCAGGATCCAGATGGAATAGCTTTGAATCCAACAGAGACCTTTTTTAAAAAAAAAAAATTAGCTCCTACAGGGGTACCTTTGCATTCAGTGACTTGAATAATATCCCTGTCCCCCTTGCTACAGTGATACTCTGTCCAAAGCCAGTGCCTGTGTTCCAAAACCTTTTTCAGCTTGTTTTTGTAATGCACCTACCTTACTCATTTTGTGAACTCCTGCCTGGGAGCTACAGAATAAGCAGTGTGATAGCAGCCTGATAGCAACTGCAGCCAGAGGCTGATTTCACAGTACAGTAGGAAGTGCAGAATCCAACTGGTCACTGTGGGCCAGACTAAATCATCTTTGAACAAGAACCATTCATAAAAGCAGAATCAACAAAATCTTCATCAATTCCACTAATTTAGCTTATCTGTGTGCCTCACTAGGACGTCTCAACTCCTTCTTGCCATCTGTCAGTCTCCTCCCCTTGATAAAGAAACTGCATATTCCAACACTGTCCCAACCAGGGATTAAAAAAAAAGGATATCAGAAATATGCTTTAAATTGCTTCAGTGTTTGAGATACTTTGTTGTGATTATTTTAAAATCAAAGCATACTATGCCCTATCCTATTCTAAGCCTCTTCCTACTCATTTCCAGTCCTGTACACTTTCTTAATACAGCATATTTAAAGCTAATAGGAGGTGCTAGGTCATCAACCCCAAAAAACTTGTACTGACCTAGGGTGTACATGTAATACAACATTGTTCTGTCAGTGTGCTTCAGCTCTAGTTCAGCAAGTAATCAGTAAGCCCATTCTGTACTCAGACAAGGCTTAACTGAGGCTGGCAGGGATGTAGAGGTGTATGATTCTGCACACAAAATCCTTCCAGTACAACACATCAAGCACTTCTTCATGAGCTGTTCACGCACATTTCAGTCTAGGAACCAAAACCACTCCATGTCTCATCTTCTCCATCAGTGATAGAGGAATGAATTATCATCTTTATTAAGATGATAGACAGATTTTAAACCAGGGGAAGAGATTTGGTTATCTTAGTTATCTTAGTAAGAGCCAGCCTTAAAATCATCTCTGATTTTTCAAGGGAACAAAGAAATCCCTATCAATTACAGACACCATTGTGGCTTCACTAGAGCTGATGTGCCTTCAGGAAAAAAAAAAACAAACAAACAAAAAACAAACAAACAAAAAACCCCAGCTGATTCATTATGGAGAGAAGTGATTTTCATTTATATGTTGTGCTTCCCTTCTGTCTCATTTGGGATATGAGCAGGTAAAAGCCAGTGAAGAAGAGAGAAGCCACTCCTAATAAAGGGCTATATCTTGGATGAACCAAGCTCCCATGACACATCTGCACACTAAGACATTTCACTCTGACAGGACGTGACCCAACTGAAACTTCAACATTACTTTCTGCCAAATTAGAAAGGGATAAGAAGTGTCCCTTCAAAGACACATTAATGAGAAAGCACAACATACACAAAAAACCTCAAGTTGTACTACACCTCCTTCACTTATGTGGAGAGCTACTTTACAAGTTGGTCTCTTAAGATGCAGGAGCACTGGGTGAAATAATATATTTAAGGGGTTTTGCAGATTGTTAATTTATTGTCTAACACTGAATTGATAGTGTAGGCAATTTTCCACTAGTACTCTCATTCTAAATTAAGTGCTTGCTCAGCTACATGTGCCCCTTGCATTGTATTCACGACTGCAACAGCCAGCATGTTCCGTTTGTGCCATGTCTGGTTAGTTACACAACTCCCATCACTGGATAAAAGCAATGGTTTCTGCATCCAATATATTTCATATTTAGAGGATTAGATATAAAGTATTCATATTTATGCATGTATTGTTTACGATTTGCAGTTTCATGAAAAAAATACAACTTACCTCAAAAAAAAAAAAGTTAGCATTCTGCTATTGCTGGTATATTTATGGGCTTCACATAAATTTCCAGATACTTCAATTCTGAATGAAGAAACATAGCATTTTTATATACAGAAATGTACAGTTTATCAAAAGATGTATTTGGATAAAAGGAGAAAAACTTGTAAGATGTTCCTTTGCCAAAAGTAACGTAAACTCTTTTGCCCCCCAAAAATTCAAAACCAAAGAATTTATATCAACATGGCGTCTCATTCTGTAGTTGTTAGTCACCTCAACAATTCCAGTAGTAGTAAGTCAGTCTGTGAAGTCTCACAGTGCCAAATTGAAAATAATACCATAAGAGAAGTTTTATCAGCTGCACATTGTTCTAGGAGCTAGAGTAAGGGGAGTTGTTCATTCCTTCTACTAAAAGCAATATTGTAATGTATCTTGTCTTTAGCAGAGACTGCGTTCAATTAGTCTAAGACATAAAAAAAGAGAAAGATTCATGATGGTGAGAAACAAGGTAAAATAGACAAGATTTGGAACAGGTAAGGAAGCCCTGAGAATGTGCTAGATAAATGGGCTGTCTTGAAATAAAAAAAATAATACCTCTAGTACAAGTGGAGAGTATGAGAGAGTACTTTCTATTTGAAGTCACTGCTAACCTGTTAAATTCCTATAAAGCAAAATAGGACCAAATATTAGTGCTCACACTGTGTGGCACCACAGGAATCTCAAAAATAGTCAATGTGTTAAGATACCAGCTGGCTTCCATACACAACTGGAAAGAAAAAAAAAAAAAAATCTAGTCTACTTCTCTTTTCTTTAGACAGTCCCTGTTAAGAGGATCATTTAGAAGTTGTCCAAGTTTCAAAAGATCCAAAAGCACTCACCGTAGCCTCTTTTCTTTCCCACTGAACTTGACAGGAACTTTATCACCAACTCCAGTTACAGTACTATTTGGCTTCAATTTGAAGACAACAAGCCTGATAGTGCATGGAGCAACCTCATATCCCAGGCTCACGTTCTCATCATAATGGCAACAAAGTTGATTCTTCCCTTTTATCTTTGCAAGTCAGCCAAAATTATGTATTAAATTATCCGCCAGGACTTTCAGTTCAGGTGTCAATTCCCTGCAATTGTGATTTAAACTAATTGGCGCTGGTGTGATATTTGCATCTTTCAAAGACAGAATTTGCAAAAATCTGAATAAACAAGGCTATGGAAGGTCAGTGGGAGTACACACTTGTTGGACACATTACCAACAGAGAGAGTTAAAAAAACTGTACGAATGAGGAACATGATTAGAATTTGAGGAAGTTTAGTTCTAGTGCAAGGGCTGTAAGATCAGCGGAATCCACCCCTCAAACGTACCCCATACCCAAAAACTCTTTGCGCTAAGAGTATTAAGTGGGACAGTTTTCCATACCTTTTTGATTTAATGCTACAGAATCAGTTTAATTTTAAGAAAATTCCATTTTCTCTTTTGGCATAAAATGCTTTGTAAAAGCTCAGCACATTTCTTGGCTATCTTAATTGCTTATAAAAATTCTCAGCCAACAGTCAAGTGCTTCTAAAAAATTAACAAAAACCCTACTACATGCTAATTCCCCAGTTTTTTTATATTTCTAGTCAGTTCTCTCAATGTCAAGCGTTAGCCAACGATAATATACATTGGCTTGAAGCCATCATCATCTTTTTAAGCTTATTGTGACTGCAAGACACTAGGTAGTATATCCCAAAGGAAAAGAGTGGGGAAAACATTGCTGAAAACTATCTGCTAACATCTATCCATGTAAAAAGCACTTGCACTTCCAAAAGCACATATTCACTTTACAGAACATTCAAAAGAGCAAAATTGTTAGCCTTAGTTCCTGTAGAAAACAAATTATTTATCTGTTCAACTGGCATGTAGCCAGATACAAAAATATATCCATGCCATATTTGAAAGCTAGTCTTGGTATATATGCATGTCCAATAATTTCTTGCATCAATAAAATTCTAGTTTACTCGATACATAGTCTGATCCTGAGCAGCTAGTGGGAGACTTCTTTTTTATCTGAGGGAGTGTGTGTGTGTATGTAGGGTTTTTTTAGTAAACTGTGGATTAAGGATAGGAGAATGGGTGCCTACTGCAACTTGTTTTCAAGACTAGGCCCAAATTTGGTTACCTTTACTGCATGCCCAAACTTTTGTCCACAAATAAACATACAGAGCCTTTTACTTAAGCAGGGATTCCATCTGCTGAAATCCTGAATTCTTCTTCCCATCATTTCTAACATTTACCTCCCCTCCATTAGCAGTGCAATCCGCCATAAATACATCTATGGGCAATTAATTCACATGTATAATCATAGGTCACCGGTTGATTCTCTAGAGAAAACTTACTCTTTGATACTCTCTAGCTTGTCTCAAAAGGATATTTGACTTGGAAGTAAATTACTGGAGTTATTCTGACTTTTCATAGTTTGGGATATTCTTGCATTTTCCATTTTTCTCCCTTAAGCAGAATTATTATTGAACTTAAATAATACATCTAGAGGGTTGGGGGTTTTTTAACAGAGGAGAGCAGTTATAGTTTTTGCCACATACAACATGAGCACATTTCAACTGAAAAATCAAAATGGGGTGGAAGTAGGAGTAGTAGTGTTGCTACGTGGAATGGCATGCCTGAAACAAAGGTGCACAAGCCAGACAGAGCTCAGCTCAGTCTGCAGTCACCTGGTGAAGCACAGGGTTTACCTACTGGACCACAATACTTCCACACTGTTTTAAGGTGAGGTCTGCCTGCCCACCCAGCTCCTTCTTTACACAGTATCAGGCCAAACTAGGGAGGATGAAATGAGAATCACTGCACCAAACCTAACCTCTCCGCAAGGCATGTAGCCAGTTTGAATGCTAGGAAAGCCTGGACTAAAGCACAGGTTTGGCACCATCTTTCGGTTACTGTTTAAACACACTGGCGAGCCCAAAGGGCAATAAAGTTTATTTACTTTCAGGTTTTTAATGAGCAAATTTTAAGTGCTCATCGTGATGGTTTTCTATGTCAACAATTTATTAGATGTTAAAGCCAAGAGGACCACCATATTGCCCGAGCTTCTGCCTAATAAAAAGCCACGTCTTTGATGGAAATCCAGTCCCTCACTAAGAATCCCACTCTGCATGAGTCCCCTCCCCCCCTCTGCTCCAAGTCAGTTTCTTGGGATGCAGACTCATCCCATGAACTAAAGCATGCCTTATGCTACAAAAGCATGCTCCTCTGTTTCACTCTAGCCCAAAACTTTCTCTACAAAACCTTGGAGACTTTTCACACCTAGTAACAACACACAATTCCTCTGTTCCACTTGGAGCCCAAATTTTTGAGTTTGTACATTCCTCCTTGTGCACTGAAGTTCTTTCAGCATCAATCAATTCATGATACAAAGAATCTTTCCAGGAATAAGCAAAATTATGCAACATATGTCATTGACTCCAGCAAGATATTCTCCAATAACAGGGAAACGATTGCCGAGTGACTCCCCCAGAGTCAATTACTAACAGCTCCAGAAATCAGTGTAATAAATAGGTTGTCCATAAGAGCATGAATGTGTAAAACAGATCTGTCTCAGGCTGTCTATTAGGGCTTTGAAAGCCCTTAGTTTTGGCATCTGTATTATCACACTTTGTAAAGGTCTCTTTTCACAACCGACACGTTCTTTCTTTCTCTGCTGTACAGAAGTTCACTTGAACCAGAGCAGCCCCACCAGTGAATTCCCCAGCTATGGTGAAAACGGAAATGATACCAGTTTACTTGTTTCACCCCTTCTGGTGGCTGGAGTAGTGATTGGACTTGTGCTATTTCTATCCTGTGTTACAATCATTGTTGGCAGTCTGCGAAAGGATGGACGCTTAAGACGCCCGCATCTGAGGAGAGATGCTGTTTATGGTAAGATAGCTAGTTTAGCAAGATAATGCTTAACTTTATTAATGATCTCATGCTATGGGCAACAAAAAGCATCTGGCCACTGTGCAAGGGATAAAAAAAAAAAAAGGTAAAATTTAAAAAATAGGGTAAGTAGGTCACAGGCAGCTTTGTAGTTTAATAGCATCTTTGTTCTAGCACTGAATTCACATAGTACAAGCTCCAAAGTTAATGGTTAACATAAACAAGGCCAATGCCAACAGCATTTCTTAAACAGCTTATTTTCCCTTGATATGGTATAAGATTACTTCCCCATCACTAGACTCCTGATAGTTTATTTTCATATCCCATTATAGCCTTGCTATAGCATGTAATGTAATTTCTATCTGTTGGAAAGCCAGGAATGTTCTCGCTTCTGCAGTGTGTGCACCAGCCTACAAAAATGACTGGACAATTACTTCTGACCACAAAAGTTAGTAACTGGATATAAACAGAACAACAGGGCATCAAAATGTTGTTACAACCATCATCATCGTTAATGATGTCATTGATGACATCAATGTCATTACTACTGTCATCATTAAAGAGACTGGTTTCCTAACAAAAAAGTGCCAGTTCCTATCCCCTTACCCCTCCAACAACCCCCCCCCCCCCTACTTTAAAAGGATTTGGGAATATGAAGGAGTGAATTGTAGAATTATATTTTTGGCCAATTTAGGGTTTGCTGTCCAGAAGTTGAAAGCCACTTTGTCAAGAAAATGACAGAATCTGATTATTTCTATATTTAAGGAAAAAACAATTACAAAAAGTTACTTTGTAAGTCTTCAGCTAGTAAAAATTCAAATGATAAATGGATTAATGAATTGAGTGGAGCATCAACAATTATATCTATGGTTAGGCTCCTTTTCTGCGGTTTGTTATGAGAGTACAGTTCTTTGCATATTCTTGAGTTTTTTTCTTTATATAGAAAAGATAATAATAGTGAGCCACACAAAAACACATTGGCTCAAATCTTGATTTCACTGTGGTAAATCAAGTATCCACTGAAGTCAATTGGACATCATTTAATTATTTGGACCAGGAATTTTTGTGTCTAAAAGAAACACATTTCCTAGGATCAGTTTGTCCACCTGGAGCCAGGAATAATTATTTGGGGCTTTTCCAGAAACATTTATACATATAAGTGAATAACATCTATTTTTTGGGAATAAATTTTAGACTCCAAAATAAGTGAAATGCAAACTCCCATGGTAACATACAGGGGGAAGAAGGGAAAAAAAAATCCAGAAAACTAATGTCTACTATTATTGTAACATCTATTTTTCCTGCTTTTCAGTAGCTAAATTTGGAATTAAATAGTTAAACCCAAATTGGAGTTACTGTTTTGCCCATGAACAGCAATATTTTGGCATGATAAAATACTGACCATTAAGATTTAATCACTACATTTAAATCTACTGCTATGTTAATTTAAAAACCCTGAAGCCAGGCAAAAACGTAAATGACAATTTTCAAACTGCTTGTTAGAAATAATAATGCTAGAGAAATGGAAAAAGAAAAGCATGGTGATTATTTTCAGAGAAATTCAAAAGAATAATCTTAAGCTAAATTGTGCCAGTCTACCAAAGTGAAAATTTTACATCAGCGCATGCTGTCCTAATATCTCGGCATGCTTCCACTGGCCAGCATGGGAGCAGCGGGAGTCACTGTGAAGTTGGCTTCCTTCACTTATCAAGCAAAAGGAAAGCACAGTGCATGATAGACTGGATTAGCCCTGGTAAATACATTGGCAGAGGTGAAAATTGCCAGAAGGAGGAACAGGCAGTTCAGGTGAGTCCTGCCCTTTTACCCTCTGCTGAGAGACACTGCTTCGATGTCACTTTAGAAGCTGGCCTTTCTCTCCAGGTACTATTTTAATGCATTGAGTGAAAAGGAGGGATCATTTTATTGTGGGGGGCAGGGAAGTGGAGATTGCTGCATTACCACAGCTTGGGACATTCTTAGGGAAATTTACCCCGGAATGTTGAGCATTAGCTAACGATCTTCTAAGACAGAAAATAGGAGTAATTTCTTGATATTTGTGGAGCTATGAAGCTCTTGAGTGAAAGCATTAAGAAAGCCCTGGAGCAGGCAGCAGGATGATTTTCTCTACTATTTTCCAGTTTTTCCCCTTTTTGTTAGTGGTTTTATTAAGAACAGCACTTTCTCAAGACACATACCTACAATCAAACACCTAAGCCGCCTTTTAAAAACCTTCACAGAATTGGCAAGGTTTCAATGTATGCAGCTCCTTGGAACTTCAGCAGTCCTGCTAATGTTTGAAGCTGCATGCAGCAGAACCAACATTCCTTTTCAACCTTTCAGGCACAAGAAAGACTTTAGACACTTGCATCTTGTAGGGCAGCACTAAATATATAGTCCCTGTGCCATAGCCTGAAACACCACAGTTCATCTATAGATGATGTTAACTTTCTCTTGAAGGAATAGAAATGTCCTGTGAAACCTGATTGTTCCAGAATACCAGTAATTCCTCTGCCTCAGATAGGTTTTATTTTCTGATTTATGGCAGTGTTATAAACAGTGATATTGTTTCAGAGAATCCACCATGGAGGAAAAGAGCAGCAAGTATTAATTGCTTGTTTTCCAGCTCCAGATGGCTTCTCTTATGGTGGCTCTTTTGGAGAGCTGAGATCCACCTGCATGGAGGAGTTTCCCCCAGCTTTTGATTTTGGTTCCTATCTGGATACACTTTCTCAGGTCAACGTCATGTATCCTGATTCACCTCCACGGTAAGCACTTTTCTAAGATTCTGAGTATTACAGTCCTGTACTTGCAAAGCCTGTTAAAGAAGAAAATAAAACTTCTAGACCTATACCCACTACAAAAATACAGGTCACACAAACTCTAAATACAGACAGGCTTTGTTTAGTTTAAGTTCAAGTTTTCTGTAGCAGAATATATCTTTACTAAATAAAGGCATGTGTACAGCCAATTCTCATTTACTAATATTCACATTAAAATTTATCATATTGATGGCATACTAATGAAACACACAAGTAAAATTACTTATGAATATCTTTCTTTGAAAGAAATTATTTTACAAGTCAAAGTTTCACTTCCATGAGAAAATACATACTTTTTTCAAGAACATTCAGGTTACATTTGTTACTGACCTTGAGACTGTTCAGATAAGAGTAAACGGAAAAAAATGAAAGGGGGAGAAAAAATTAAAAAGAGTGCAAGAAACCTTTAAACCTTCCTGTATTTTTCAGCAAGTCTCACTTCTCAGCTTTCTTAACCATGGTATTCTATCAGAAAACAGAACTGAAGAAAACATATCTTTCTGACATACCTAGTAATTGTACTTAACCCTCCTAATTTAGGATAGGGAGAAAATTGTTTGGGGTTGTTCATCTTATATCCGTAATCTGTGAAGGACAACTACCATTTTAGCTGTTTAACCCAAACCTGCTCTGGAGAGCCATAGTTGCCTGGATTGTAGTAGCATCTTTGGAGAAGAGCGTCCTTCAAATATCAGGCAGTTCTAATTGCCCGGGGAAGTAACATCGCTAGAAGAGGCTCTTTCCAAAGACAGTCATTCCAGAAATTATATAGCAGCTCCTTCCACATGTTTGCCTGCATTCACAGGATACAAGAACAGTCATCACAAGTGACAAGAGTTGCACTTTAATCCATCTATATCTCCTCTGTGTGCCTCATGCACCTTGTGGTTAATAAATGAAGAAGGAATTCAGTTACTCCCTCCAATGAACCAACAGAAATCATTTGAAACAGAACATCACTTCAGGCTTTCTGTAGTGCTGTATCTTACAAACAGCAAATAATGGTTGAACAGTCATGCCCCCCTCCCCCCCCCCCCCCTTTTTTTTTTCTTTTCTTCCTTTTAAGCAGACTCTGTTTTGAGGTAAACCAATAAGACCAGCCCTTTTCTGACTTCTTGTATACATATGCAATATAGAGCAAGTCAGTAGTTTGAATGTACAATATATAGATCTTTGCTTTTTCTATTCTATGCATGTTCCACAAGCAACCCTTTATGTATTACAAAGTCATACTATATAATAAATAGGCTTTTAGAGATGGTGTAAATATTTTAGCAGACAGCTCACAATGTGAAAAATTATTCCGAGCCTGGCATCTAAATTTGTAGAACTTCATATAAATCCACTTAAAAATTTAGACTGGTTTTTGGACCCACACTGAGTCTTTACTAATAAAAGCCAGCCAGCTGACACACAAGCAACAGCTTGAGTGGGCAGTTGGCCAGATTTCTGAGAACAAGCTCAGACTCCTGTGAACAAGCTCTGAGAACATATTTCTTTAGCAGGCAGGTCTCCTAAGATTATACCAAAGTTTGCATCCATTTCCAGTTTGAAACAGGCCCAAAGAAGGATTTTCCACCTCTATGGAGTTCTCTGGAAAGAGATACGTGAGTGATACAGGATAGCACTACATGATCTGGGCTTTCTGTTAATTCTCCAGCTGCTTCTGTAATAAGCCTGGCACAAGGTAACTATCTTTTGTCCCGCCTTGTTCTAAGAAACTATTCTGGGACATCAATACTAGGATCAGAGCAACATAAAGGTGTCCAACCACTGCCTCCTCAAGATGCCCTTCTGGGCAGAGTGGACTGTGTCCCTGAGGGGCCCAAGATCTGCCTCTGCATACACAAGGAAACACTGCTCATGCCATTAATTGCAGATCTGCATCACAGGTCAAAAGTAAAGATTATCGTTAATGGTTTTGCTGTTTTCTCACTGCTACCATAGTTAAATATTTTAGAAAAAGTAGTTTTGGCAAATCCACTAACCACTTTCTTACATTAGATTTTACGTTAGGTTTAGAGAAATACCATGCACTGAGTTTTGTCATTAGCCTGCCATAGTTGCAGGGTGGTTACAGAGAAGCCATTTGGTCAATTTGTCTTGACAGCCCAAAATATACAGTGCTCCTATCCATACACATCCTTTAGGATAATTAATGGCTTTCTAATTCATCTCAGATCTGTGTTAGCATCTGTCAGATTGATTTTACATGAGTTGTAGAAGGGAAATATAAAAACAAAATACAGTGGGTATGAACTTAGCAGTTTCAAGATACTAGGGATTTGTATTTTAGAGCCTATTTCTAACATGTACAGATACTTGTAGTAGTGCTGGAAGTTAAGTTAATGTTTCATAGTCTGTGTTACCAGAGGTAGCAAAGTATTCGTTTCTAAGAAACTTCAGACATCTGAGAAAGATGATCCACATGATCTGACAACAATTCTAAACCACAGAATTCTTCTCCTCCCAAATTAGGAAACTTGAACAAATTCAACCAGGACAAAATATAAGAACAATCTCCCTGCCACAGCTTAACTTTCATCATAGCAAATATGACTTTGAAAGAAATATTGGAAAGCCTGTAAATCCAGTATTTGCCAATTTGTTCAACATTGACTGTGATGGTATAAACAAAATAATCTAATTGAATTTTTAGTATCTTTAAACTTTTAAGAAGAATCAAAGAAAAAAAAAATAATCAAGAGTATTATGTGGAATTATATGGCAGGCAGCAGACCTTTAATCAAAAAAGTCTTCCGGAGTTTGATCAAGATGGCTGTAGCTGACATTCTACACATCCCAAACACATGCTGTTAACACTATGTGGATAATATTTATACATAGAAATCACAGGCTCGTGCTCATGTTCACTGTGCCAAGAGTTCATTGTAATACATGCACCTATAGTGAGCTTTCCTAATTATCTTTTTATATATACGTAATAAGAAAACTGTTTAAAAATAATTTGAGCTTACATATTTTAAATGGCTTGAAGTACAGTATCAATCAAGGACCAAGTAAATTAAAAACGATTGCATTTTCTTGATGACAATCTCTAAAATCCTAACAATGAGGAGATTTGAGATTCCCTGCATGAAAGGAATTTCATCAGCTTTTCACCTTTTGGCCAGAGGAAATGAATTTCTCCCCACTCCACTAAGTGCTTTTTCACTCCTTAGTGATTGGATATTAATGGTATGTAGAGAGCTTTGGGCAACCAAGGTTATCACCTTTTTCATCTGTGACTCATGACTGCCTAATACAGAACATCACTGAGGAACGACTCTTGAGCAAGATGGAGGGATTTAGCTTCAGGAATAGTTTTAATGGAAGCCACAAAAGTCCTCTCTGTATTTTAGATTGAAATGTGTCCTGCAGGGCACACTACGATAAAAACCAGTTAGTCACCCATTATCCTAGTATTCACATTAGAACAGATTGGGGTTTTTTTTGCTCGTTTGTTTTAAGTATGCTCACTCTACCTCATCTGGTCATCTTGCCTAATCTATATAGGATCAATTCTAGAGAAAATTGTCTTGTTTAGGCCTGATTAATTCCAGTACTCTTAATACCCATGCTCAGTCTGCATTGTTTAAACAGGCAAATCCATATTAAAGTTACTTTAAAGCGGCAAAAGGAAATGCTTATGACTTAAAGACCCTAATTTACCTCTACATATGAAAACAAAAAAACCCCAAACTACTTAAGGTACTTTCTTTTCCATCCCTCACTTCTGAGGAAGCAATTTAGCTGTATCAGAGGGAAGAAGGCTTGAGCTTCCTAGATTTTCTTGAAAGACAGAATCAGGCTTGCAGGAAACTAACATAAAAACTTGCTACGTTGTGCTATATTCCTTTGCCAAGGCCACTTTTCCTGCAAGCATGCATGGTAAGTAGCTTTTGGCACATTACAATGACAGTTGGCAAAGCATGAGATGGACATCTGTGGTTAAGTTCAGATCTTGCTTCAATACCCTCATTGAGGTTTTCAGTCAGTGAAGTAAAAAACACCACTGGAAATATGACAGTTTTAAATCCACTGGAAATCATGACATGAGATAAAACTCTCAATTCTTTCAACTCTGAATTCTGAGCAACTAGACGCTCAAAAGCCCCTCCCTTCACATCCTAGTGCTTTCCTAATTAGTATTAGGTACAGAAACAAGTTAATTGCTTTCTGATTAGTTAGTTGCTTTCTGCCGTGAAGGGATTTTTACATGACGCCCACATTTCACAGCCCATCCAGTAAGCACAGGGAGATTGCCTTACTGCCCAACGTTAAACCAGCCCTTGAGAGGTCAGGGTCTGCAAGTAAGCTCCCAACAAGCGTATCTAGACTAGCATTTCAGATGTCTCTGGTATACCTCTAAACAGAGCCCTGCCCTAGCGAGGTTCTTACCTGATGTCAATGCCACCACACCAGTGGCAGCACCATCAAGTTATATCTGCTGTATGGACAGGTTTTCCCCCAAGCTGCCTTCATCTTGCTATTTTCTACTAACGGATCATCCTTCAGGAAGGCATTTCAGTCAGAGGATCTTCTGCAGTTACGCAGTCCTACCCCTGCTGCTGCCAGTAATCACTTTTAATAGAAACTTACCTATTCTATAACAGAGTTTGCAAAGATCTTTTGTGCTGATTATACCCATTTCAGAATACCTAAGGACAGACCTAATTCCTAATTATTATGGCAACCTTCTTATTTCCAGCTTAAATTTGTTTACAACCATTTTATGATAGTTTCTTTTTGTGGCATTTCCATTCCTCTTAAATAACCATGCCTTTCTCATTACTTGCTGCTTGTATTTGTAGTCAAAAATCTTCTCACACCTCAGCCTGCATGTTGGGAGGCTAAGGCACAAAGTTCTCTTCACTTTCTGTCATCATATCTGTTGCGATGCTGTATCGTCTGACCAGCATTTATCTACACCTGTCCCAGTTTCA